GCAGAACCAGGCTCAGGACAGGAGACCATCTGCCTCGACCGGCTGCTTGGAGGACAGGAAAGAGACACAGACAAACACAGAACTAGTTCAGGTGCACCTTCTTCTGGAAAAGAGACAAAGGAAAAAAACATGTTACTGATAGAAATAATAACAATAAACTTTTAAAGAAGAGAGACTAAAGACAACAGCAGAGTGAGGAAATGTGCTCAGTTTGTGCTCCAGCAGTCTAAGTCTGTAGCAGCAGAAATGAAGAATAATTCTGGAAACCTAAGTCTAACTGTATGATTTATCAAAAAGTCTAATCTTAAAAGTAGACAGAGTGTCAGCCTCACGGACAGAAACTGGAAGTTGGTTCCACAAGAGAGGAGCTTGATAACTGAAAGCTCTGCCTCCCATTCTACTTTTAGAAACTCCAGGAACCACAAGTAAACCTGCAGTCTGAGAGTGAAGTGCTCTGTTAGGAAAGTATGGAACAATAAGATGTTTAATATAAGGTGGAGCTTGGTTGTTAAGAGCTTTGTGTGTTAGGAGTAATATTTTAAATTATATTCTGAATTTGAGTTGAGTTAGGTTGGTGATCAGAGCTGTTGTCTCGTGATCGTGAGGCTGCAGCGTCGAGCCCAGGTTGTGTCAGGAACAGCATCCGGCGTGAAACAATTCTTACATTTTTCATGTTCCTTTTTTTTACAAACCTCCCAGAAAGAAACAGCCGGAAGAAAAACAACAACAACAACTTGTAAAATGTACAAATATTTATTTTTAGTAAACCATGCACGGTGTGTGTGTGTGTTTCTGTGACTTTGATCAGCGTGTGCTGGTATGTAATAACCCCTGAAGTGAAGATGGTTTAAACATGTGGCCTTTAGCTGCTGCTGCTGCTGCTTCTGCATTTTTAGACATTTGAGCCGCCACACTGCTAGAGTTTCACTTTGCTAAACTCACGCACGCACGCACGCACACACACACACACACACACACACACTGAGTTGTGTTTTCTTGTCTTCAGATGACATTATATTGACTTGCAGTCTTTTCTAGAGGCTTACACAAACCTAAACACATATTCTTTTCTCTTTATAAGGTAAACAGATTTTATCAACTCTAACATAAGTTACACATAGACCACACACACACACACACACACACACACACACACACACACACACACACACACACACACACACACACACACGCACACACACTTGTTCTGAGATCAGCTGAGCGGCATGAACGCCACACTTGCTGAAGGTAGAGTTTCTATGGTCTCTCATTTTTCTGTGTACAGGTGTATCATTTCACTCTCAATCTAATTTTCACTGCATTTTTAAACTCACCTATGATTGTACCTGCTGTGTTGTGTCATAAAATGTTATTTCTTTTTCTCCTTTTAGTAAATGATTACAGGCGTTACTGTAGCTGTTACTCTGCTTTAGCTCGGCATTGTGGAGTTTCTAATTTTCCACAACGGCGTTAAAACATTTTCTCTAAGATTTCTGTCTGTGTGTGCTGATGATAAAAGCATGTACTTCATGAAAAGTTGTATTGTCTCTTTCCCTGCAGATTGCTGAGGACTGCGTCCTTCAGAAAGACTGTATCCTTGCCTCTGTGTGTGTGTGTGTGTTACAACTCCTTTTATTGGAATTTCTCAAATCATGTCGGTCCTATATGCTGTTAGCTTGAACATTAACCTTTATGTGGTTAACAAAGCAGTAAGATTCCACACATAATGCTTATTCATGACTGCTCATTTCTGTAAACACATATATAAAGAGTAGAGGGGAAAAATGGAGGTTTATGAGAGGAGAGGTGAAAGGCAAAAGAGCAAGTACAAAACAGATTTGGAGGTTTAACCAGAGCAAAGACAATCATGTTCAAGACATGAATGCACAGAAGAAACAGGGAATGCTCGTCTTGCTACCGTGCATCCGTAGAGCGTTAGTGAGAGGAAGCATTGAGCCATGTCAAAGAAGGATTGTGTTTTGGCTGCCCTTATCCATAAACATGAGTCTGCATCCTGGAGAAACCCCTTCTGTTTTATCACTTTTGTTCCTGTTCATCCTCCTTCAGAACTAAAACACAAATAAGTGACTTTTCTTTTAATTTTTGTAACATTAAAGTGGTCCTGAGAGGTAGGCTTTCTTCCTTTTTCCATCCAATCCGGATCATTTTTAACGGTTTTACTTCTTATTGTTTGTCAAATGAATTAACATGAACTAATGAATAATTCCTTTTTGTAAAAAAAGGCTAAACTTTAAGGACAGAGAAGCGTTGTGTTTACAAATAACAAACAACTTTTTGTCTATAAGTACAGACTTCTTAAAGATACAGATAGACTTCTTAGCTCGCCAATTTTTTTATCTTTGACTTTTCAAAATTTTCTCATCTAACTTTTTAATATTTATTTATTTTATTATTATGATATGCCAGGTTTTTAGCTAAAACTTTTAAAATTCCATTGTCTAATTAACCTGTTTAAATGTGATGTTAAGCTTTTTTATAAATACTGTCTATAAATGTCTGTGGACATTTCCAGCTTCTAAATTAGTGAAATTGATTTTTTATGATCTGTTAAGTTTAACGAGCCTAAAACAGTATTTATGATAAAAAATCATTATTTTATAAATGATCAGTTAAAGGACAGGGCTGAAAGTTAGTTAATAATAAATAAATTAGGGGGTTGCTGAGGACTTTTCTGTATTATATTTACATTCTATATGCAGGGGTGGAGCCCGGGGGCGGCCAGGGGTGGCCATGGCCACCATAGACAAATCTTTGGCCACCCTGCTGTACACACCCCTTCCACAGTGAAACAACCTTTAGGGGTGTAATAAACCTCCTGAACAGTTGGTGGCAGTGTTTAACAGTTTGAAACATCACCAAGCTCTATCACTGAAGAAGAGTAATGACAAGGAAGTGATGGTCTTCTTTGTATACAAAACTTATGCCTGTAATCTGACTTATGGTGTCAACTTTTGGACTTATGATGACAAATGTTTTTGCTTTTTCTTGTCACCATAACATAGTGTCATTTCATGTTATGAAGGCTGCATGATGCTGTGTGTTTTGTTCTGAGTAAACCTATCACTAAATCAGAAAAAGTGAAACACCCCTCTAAATTCACTAAATTAATTGGGTAACATTTATAATGTTAGTTTTAAACATGCATTTGAGGGTCATCATTATTTGGCACAATAACATGTTACAATTATAAATAAATCAATAAACAATAAAAAAAAATAAAAAGCACCCCTAAAGTCATAGGATATGATAAATTGTGTCACATTAATTAATCTTATCTCAGCTAAATCAGTGAGTTTAAAAACAGGATGATGGAACTAGTTTAATAAAAAATCTGTCTCTGAAATAATTAAATCGTGTTAATTTAAGTAGGTAGAAGTATGTTTAAAAATCTGGTAAAAATACACCAGAATGCAGAAAATGGCATCTATTTTGTCCAAAAAATTTCTGGGGGAGGACTCCCTGACCCCCCCCACCACAGCAATCTGTCCACCCACTTTTAAAATGGTTCTGATGCCCATGTTTACAAGGAAGTCACTGCCTGCATAAGGACATAAGGAAATTACAAAAACACAAAGATCTGCAAAAAATTTCAAGTAAAAAAATCATGTAATTTTCCTGACCACCCCTGTGTGAGTAGTGGTCCCCGTCTGGCCACCCCTGAGAAAAATGTCTGGCTCCGTCACTGTCTATATGATGTCAGACCCATACACCTCTGTTTTCTGTAATGACACTTCAGTAGAAAAGCAGCCACACTCATAAAACAAGCAGTTGTTTGTGTTTTTCTGTTGTGTGTTGTTTTTTTCCTGATGTGTTGGCTTCAGTCCAGCGTGCAATATGGTTCATCCAGCTGGAGAGACTCTACCACGAGAGAGTGCTGGACAACCTGAACACACTTCAGGAGCAGTGGGGTAAAACAACACGCTCTTCGTCCCATTTTTAATTTTCTACTGTTATAACCACACATTGAAATGCATTGAGTTTACTGCTATAAAAGACTAAATATGATATTTTTCCCTGCATGTGTTGTCATGTTTCTTAGAGGAGAAACAATCATTTGTTGTTGCTCTGTAAAGTAATATTGTTTCGGTCAGTTTGTAATAATAAAAGTGTTCATCTAAACTGAATATTTTTTACTTGCATATAAAAATCACATTTTCATGTACTTTTTTTGTCATTATGCCTCAGAGAGTCACTGTGAAGGGACATCTTCTGATCTGCCATCCCAACATCTGGACACTCTGAAACACATTTGCCGAACACACACTCGGTCAGTCTGCATCTTCATACATGTATTTTTATCTGGTGGGCTGCTAATATGTACCTGGTTTATTTTAGCTCTTTGCTTCCTTCCAAAAATGTTTAAAATATGGTTTGTTTTTTTGACCAATAAGAAAAAGAGGCCTAGCTAGTAATTGAGAAAATAAACACAGGCTGCATGCAATGTCAGGTTTTTAAAGAAACTATTTTAATGTAGATTTGAGTTGTGGGTTGACAAATACACCATGTAAGTCAGAAAACACTGTTATTAATAATAAGATACATGTGGAAGATGTGCAAATCAAGTTGTTTAGCTTCGCCAAAAATAAAGACATAATAGGATTTGAATTGGCATTTTTATATCACAAAAAAGTTTTAGGAGGATGATTTTGGTTGAAGTTCAAGTTTATTTATATAGCGCCAAGTCACAACATACGTTGTCTCAGGGCACTGTACATGAAAAGAATAATCTAAAGAAGAAACCAGCAGATTGTGTTGAATCACTTCATCAC